TTAAGAGCTCCAGGAGCTGCCCCTGATTACCATGTAACAAGACCCTTACAAACACTCTGCTCTGCTGTGGCATTTCAGCAAAAGGATTGCTCTAGCACAGAGGTAGGCAATGTTTTTGGTTAGAGTGGTGAAAAAACTGCAGGGTCTACCTTGTAAGGTGCTGGAGTGCTGGCATACCAGGAAAACAAAACGGGGGCAGGGGTATATGGCAGGATGCACTGCATGTTAATATAGTTAATAATTGTAAATGGTTTTTTACAGTAAATACCAGGTTTTCTAAAAATTCTAAACCTGGTGACAATAAATGAAACTTCATATATGACCTTTGTTGGTGTGTATTCTTTTTTTGTTAAGCATGTTGTTATGAAAGAGATAAAAGAAGAGGAGATGAGAAAAAGAGGGGATGGAGAGAAAAAAAAGAGAAAAAGAAAGAAGAGGGAAAAGAGGGGGAAGAAAGAAGAAGGAAGAGAGAGGGGGAAGAAAGAAGAGAGGAGAAAGAGGGAAAGAAAGAAGAGAGAAACAAAGGAAAAGAGAAAATGGGGGGAGGGAAAAGAGGAGTAAGAAACTGAGGACCAGCTGCAGGAGCCCAGCCACATCATTCCCACCCCCCCAGTAATGCAGGCATGTGGGCAAGCAGCCTGGGCCATGGGCTGCTGCTACTGTTAGTGCTCCTTCCCCTCCCCCCAACAACACAGGCAGGGGACAAAGGTGGCACTGAAGGCAGCGCGGTGGAAGGCATTCTGCGTGGCATGGTGGCTGGCTCAGTCTGCTTGCCGTGGCCCCAGCTGCAGCTCCAGACCTGGCCAGCAGCACTGCACAAGCTGCCAGTGGCCTTGGTGGAAATTGGGTGGCGGTGGGGACATGCCCCCCGTGCCCTCCCTACAAGTCACCCATGATTAGGGACGGGGCGGCTTTTCCTGGTGGGGTTGCACTGCGGGTGGGAGCAGGGTGGGCTTAGCTGTGGGGGGTGGGTGGTGGAGGCCTGGTGGGGAAGGATGGTACTGGGAGGGGTGGCTACAGGGGGCTAAAGTAAATTTTGGGGTGGCTATAGCCTTTCCAACCTCCCCCCTCCCAGTGCCACCCCTGATTAGGGACCTACTAAATTAAAGGCCTGGCAGCCCTGCTTTCTGTTGCTGACCAGCTGGGACACAAAAACCACACATTTAAAACCATGGTTTTCGCCTCCCCACTGATCAGAAGGGAGTAGTGAGTTGGGGGGGGGTGTTCATGAGGAAACCTGCAAAATAGGTGGGAGTGAGGTGCACAGTGGCTCCTTTGGTTTTGCAGGTTCCCCTGGGCACCACTACAGAGATGGGAACAAAGTCAGCAGCACGCAGGCAGTGTCCCTGCATCCCTTCCTGTGCTCTCCTGACCCCACCCCTGGAGCCTGCCACCATGCTAGGAGCAGTCCCTGCCCAGAGACAGAGAACCTGGAGCAGCAACTTACGGCCCAGGAGCAAGCTAGGGAGGAGCCTCCCATTTCTATACAATGGGCTTTAAGCCCCAACACCTTGGCGCTCGGCAGGTACTAAACCAGGGGCGAGCAATTATTTTGGGCGGAGGGCCGCTTACTGAGTTTTGGCAATCCATTGAGAGCTGCAGGACAGGCAGCCCAGAGCAGATAAATACTAATTTTCTAAAATTTTTAGGGGCCTCACAGGCTGGATAGAATGGCCTGGCAGGCCGCTTCCAACCCCTGGGCCACATTTTGATCGCCCCTGGACTAAACCATGCCAGATTAAGTTATCCTTGGGAACACTTATGGAAAACTGCCTTCATGGACCCGGCTCCGTGGTGTTTCCCTGATTTATTATTATCATTATCTCTGGTGAAGGGGACCTGCTAGGCAGTTTGCCTGGGGCTGCTTGTGACCCACTTGGGGGTTACGACCCGCGGGCTGAAAAAAGCACCGCTTTAGATGATATGGGAGGGTTTGGCTGGGGGTTGGAGTAGGGGCCCAAGGTGTCCCTTCCACTCCCACTTCTCTGTGACGCCGGATCCGAGAGGCGGCCCCGCGACGCTGGCGGGCGCGGACATGTGCCGGGCCTGAGCAGGTGAGGGGGCG